TTATCTTATGAATGATAAATCTACATCAGCTTAATTCCTCGTATAACTGTCTAATCATGTTTGAACTTTTCTTTTCTTATTATAATATAATAAATGAGACTACTTATAAAAACGAATTATATTCATAAAAATTACAAATCATAATAAATTGGATTAATTACGGCTCACTTGAAAAACTTCTATACAAAGTATCATCATAGTAGCGAAAGATATGTGGACTAAGTAATTGTCTAGTTAAGAGTCTCAAGACTCTTATAACATTACGGTATATATGAGTAAGAAAGTCATTTTCTTGAAATTTGCAATACGTAGTATAATAACTTACAGGGTTTGGACCACGCACTTCATGGACTTTATAAAACTTGTAAATAAACTTGTCAAATTACTACCCTTTTATCAAAGTACTAAAAATGTCATTTACCTAACACCATTATACAAACACCTAATATAATCAACAAGTCAAACTTGCTATATAACATTAACAACATGTAATAGAAGTAATTTACAAACCGCTAATTGCCAAACACGCTCTTAATGTTCATGCCTAGGTCAAGCAGTCAACATTCCGCAATGCCATTCTAGCATGTTGCCTGCTAGAAATCTCAAGAATGATTTCCTCGATTATTAATGCAATGTACAATTATAAATATCGTAGAAGTGTGTGAGTGATTTGTTAAGCACGTGAAACATAAATTGTCCTAGTGTATAACAAAGCTGATGCTTGGCATTAAATAGGAGTATAAATCATAGTGTAACCGATCGATCACGATATAATAATTCTATTACGTATATTGTTTGATTGTATCATTGCAAAAGACATTGTAATAATAGCTTGTAGTCTTGTAGACCAAATAATGGCATATGAGACACTTAGAAGAGTACAAATTTTGTCGCCTAAGCACAATGCAATACTTGCTCATCTTCACATGTTTTCCCTCCTCAATTCATTTCATGTAACTCAATATAACGTGATTTGATTTGCATGATGCATGCCAACATATATATACCCCTCCGACTACTCCCACGGGTCATTTTAAAACACTACGTATTATTATATGTTATTCTGCTTGTAATTTTTCATGTAATTTGAAATATAATAATTATTTTTGAACAGATAAAGTATTTCGTCGATTTAATATTATAATGATATGAGTTATGAAGATACGATTAAAACTTATATGGAGTACATAATTTTGGATTACCATTCACATGGCAAATGTACGGAATGTAACATGCAATGAGGGAGGGGGTGCTTTTGATGACCTAGAGATGTGCATAATTCAATAATTAAATTTCGTAGTAAAAGGAGCATGAAAAAATTCCAATAAATTGTCCTTTAATTTTGACAAGCACTGTTTACATCATAGACTGCTTTTATTGTTTGGTTGATGGCCTGAGTGGGTCCCATGCATGCAATTTTGGCCTCTACAAGTGGTGACCCATTTTTAATTGTGCCCTTAACTTGTGGGATTAACTTCACCTAGCTACTGTCCTACCGCCTAGCTGTCTCTCCTTTTACATAATCCATCATTTAATAATGACTTTATGGTATAATATTATGTTCACTTTTACTCTTGTGTGATTTGAGATGATTAATCATTTAAGCGTTTACAATCCTCCGTATTACTCTGTAGTATATTTGTATTACACGAGTAATGAGTATGTACTATATATATACGAGTATGTAATATATATGGAGTATATAATTTGAGTTTTAAGTTTTGGCAATATGATCGCCCTGTTCGTCCATACTTCTTAGTTAACTCGACCAAGCTAACAAAAAGGGAAACAAAGTAAAGATAATTAAGTATAACTAAAATCGTCATGTGAAATTGATGAGGTTGTGCCGTTTAGTTTAGTAGATGATAGTTGTTTAAGCTGTTTTCACTTAAATGACATTTTTGATAGATACAAAACTTGTAGCCATGTTTGGCATTTCGTGTGATTAGATTTGGCAATACTATGATGAGAATTGAAATTATAAGTCACGAGTATTAGTTGTCATTCACATACAAAACATAATAACCAAATTCATTTGGGCATTTAGCGCGATTGGGATTCCCTCCTTCAATTCATTCCCTGACCTTTATGATTGTAATTAACTTCCAAGCCAGCTGCAACTAATCAGGTATACTCAATAATACTCATACATGTAACTGTGTAAGTGATAATGTAACTACCAAGGGCCTGTTTGATTGACTGAACTGACCTGAATTGAACTGAACTAAACTAAACTAAACTAAACTACACTTATTGGAGCTGAATTGAATATTTTATAAGAGAAGGAAATTAAGAACCGAACTGAACTGAGCTGAATTCAAAATAATTCGAAAAGAGCAGACCCTAAATCAAGGGCAACAAAAACTTAAGACACATATAGTCAAATACCATGGCGCCTTATATGTTATATTGGTTAGATTATATCCTCCACACACAATTCTTATAAAATACATTGTAACTAATAACAACATAACAAGTGGAATAGATGATAAAATTGTGCTAATCTAACTTCCACCACAAATTGAAAACCATAAAATTGCAATATGCACACAAATTGGAACTTGATCATAGAACAAAGGGCTACATTATTATACAAAGTACTTCGTAACAGTAAAGATTGTTTAAGAACGAACTTCAGGTACGTGTATAAACTACTACTCCTATCAACAAACAATAAGAATTGAATATCTTGATCTGACTCATTTATTCAGAGACAAAACTATAAAGCAAAATTTCCAAGCTTCCAACTTTGAGGAGTACTACACATGCAACTTACACTTGCATGTTGTTTGTTTTCTTGAAAAAGAAAAGAGAGTTGAAAAAAGAAAGTTTATTCAATTATTCAAATTTCCTACCAAAAGTTGAAAGTATAAAAGAGTAGAAATATAATCAATAATAAAGCTGAAACCTTCACTTCTCCAAATCTCCCTCAAATATATCTAAAGTGGTAAAAAGTGAGTATGGGAGAAGCTTTTGTCACATTTCTATATATGATAATTAAATAAATTTTAATAAGACAAATAAATGTAAATGAAGGGTTGTTTTCAATATTTTTGCATTTATTTTAGTAGGTAATTTGCTTTTAGAGTAGTACTTACAAATTACAACTACTAGTATTATATAATAAATTAATAATAATTATTTCTTAGAAATAACTATATAAATACGAAGTAGGTTTTTTTTTAAAAAAAAGAATTTGGTTCTTTAATTTCTTCTTTAAAAGAAAAGGGGGACCAAAGAATTTGATTGCAGAGATAACAGGTAAAGTCTAAAGATTCACCTTAGATGACCACCAGCTTAGACTTACCTACAACATATTGAAGATGATGAAGATAATACAGAATATCTGCCTTTGTTTTTTTTAAACACCAAACTTGGACATCACACTTTTACTTGCCAAACATTGTTTATTTTTTAAATGGGAGTCCCGCCCCATCCCCGCCCAAGTGGGGCGGGGGATGGAGGAGGTTTGGCGGGTGATGGGGCGGGGATGGGTATAAAATGTGTACCCGCCATGGGGATGGGGTGGGTATGGATTTTAGAGTAGACCCGCCCCATATCCGCTCCGTACCCATCTTATACCGGCACCATATTTCTTTTAGAAAAATTTAGAATTTATAAAACTTGAAACCCTCTAAGACCCAATAAGCTTGAATAATGAAAGTCCCAATTTTCTTAACCTAATTTGATATAATTGTCAATAATGTGATACAATAGAGCATCATGGCAATGGGTTTGGGATGATTTTGGGGCGGGTATGAGGTGGGTGATGGGGCGAAGATGGATCCTATCTTGTACCTGGTGGGGCGGGTATGGATGTGGATATTGTACCCGCCACGGGTGGTGGGGCGGGGATGAGTATAAGATTTTTAGACGGATATGGATATGGAGGTACCATCATCCGCATCCGACCTGCCCCATTGCCATCCCTAGTCACATTTCTACCCCTTATACAACATCCATGAGGATAATGTACAATTATGTAACTTCTAGTAAATCAACTACTAGTACTAGTAAATTGTTAGCCTTTTATTGCCACAATTTATGTGTTTTCATAAGGTTGAGTTCGACCCAAGAAAGAAAATAATGATCAAAATTCATATATACTCTATATTATTGAAGATCTAAATTGGATACTAATAAAGTTTAATTTGAATCTGAATTGACATTTGAATGATCCGATATGCAACATTATTAAGGATAGCATTTTGTGATATTTATCAAAGTAAGTTTTTTAGAATGGTACTTCAATTCGCAAAATTGTGAATTTTTTTCCTTTTGCTAACTAGTACTAGTATGAAATAACTAAAAGAAAAGTTTAACTTAAATTTGATGAATATTGTAAATTCAAAGCTTAACTTTCTCACGTGATTGATAGTCTCCCCTCCTTGAAATTAAAATAATAGAATAACAAAAGTGCAGTGATTAAAAAAAAAAAAAGCCTTAAGACCACTCTCAATGGTGAGCAAAAAAAATGCTCACCCACTCTCTCTCTACCCACTTTCTCTCTCAACAAATCAATTTTGCTCATGGGCAAATTTTTTCCACATTTCCTCTCCCAATGGTGAGCAAAAAAAATGCTCACCCACCACTATCTCTCTCTTACTTTTTCAATACCCCACCATAACTTTCTCTCTCCTACACAACACTTCTTTATTTATTTATTTCATTTATATTTTAACAATGTTACTCCAAATAAATAAAAACTAGTTTAAATTTGTGTAACTAATTTTTTTTATTTTTGTCTTTTTTATTGTTAAAATTTGTCGTAAAATTAAGTACGTTATATAAAAAAATTGTAAAAAAAAACTCATAATTTGTTAAATGTTTTTATTTATTTTAAAAGCGGTACAATACTAGAGAACAATTACATTTGCAACGTCATGCGCAATTAAACATAGGAAATAAAATAAACACAACAACTAAAAATTAACTCGGCTGCGTACGTAAAAGTGGCTACGCCATAGTACTTGGCTTTATTTAAGTCGTCTAATTTCTCCCTAATTACGTGGCCCGTATCGTTGCCAAATATGTTCGACTAAATCACGTTTCAGAGATAGATGAATTTCTCTGTCACGGAGGGAAGCTTTTCGCTGTAGAAATGCGTTGAAGTCAAAGTTTGTAGGTCGGCCTACGTTGAATTCAAACGGTGGCGTTGTAGATGTTGATGCTGGTGTTGATTCTTGTTGTTCTTCTTCGTAGAAGGCTCTTAGAACTTCGGCTCGAGTGTAGTTGTGGCGCTCATCTTCAACAATCATGTTGTGCATAATGATACATGCTTTCATTATGTCTCGCAGTATGTCCTCATCGTACGCCAGTGACGGTTTTCGTATTATTGCAAATCGAGCTTGCAAAACACCGAATGCTCTTTCAACGTCCTTTCGAGCAGCAGCCTGGTGGTCAGCGAACAATTTATCTTTTTGAAGTTGAGGGGTTGTGATACCCTGAACAAAAGTTGCCCACTTCGGATAAATACCGTCGGCTAAGTAATATGCCATGTTGTATTCATGGCCGTTAACGGTAAAATTTACCGGAGGAGCTCGACCATGCAGAACCTCATCGAACACTGGGGAACGGTATAAGACATTTAGGTCATTACAAGATCCAGGAATCCCAAAGAAGGAATGCCATATCCATAAATCCTGATCTGCAACGGCTTCCAGTATTAGCGTTGCTTTCTTGTTCCTACCGGCGTACTGCGCTTTCCATGCCGTTGGACAGTTCTTCCATTCCCAATGCATGCAATCAATGCTGCCTATCATGCCTGGAAAACCACGCAGTTCATTTTGATGCAGTATTCTGGCCAATTCATCAGTTGTAGGGTTTCGCATGTACTCGGTTCCGAACTGCGCAATGACACCAGTACAAAAACGTTGAAGGGCAACTCGAGCGGTTGACTCACTGATCCAATTAATCCATATTGAGCGGTTGTACACAGGATTATCGGAAAAGTAATCATTAAACAACCTGGCATGTCCAATTTCCCTATCTCTTCTATTCGTACCCCCTCTAGGTTTTTTTGAAAAGTAATCAACAACTTTATAGCAACAAAAATAACATATATACTACTTATTAAACAAATTAATTTGATAACAAAAATAACAAAAATATCAACAGCTTTATAGCAACAAAAATAACATATAATAACAAAAATAACATATATACATTACATGCCATACAATATTTAATTTTTCTCCACAAAATAATATATATACTAATTTTAACACATAACTACATATACATATTAAAACCAAACATATACTAATTTTATTATGTAACTACATTTATATATAGCAACAAAAATTAGCCAATAATTGCAATTTCATTTCGTGGCCTTCAATTTTTGTTTTCCATAAACTTACATATATACTAATTTTATTAAGTAAATACTAAAATACGTTTATATATAGCAACAAAAATTTACCATTAATTGCAACAACACTTTAATAACTACAAATATAGAAATTTATGGACAAAATATAAACAACTTTGTTAATAATTACATATTGCAAAAAATTACATGGCCTACAATTTTTTTTTTTTTTTTAAAAATCACATATATACTACTTATATTGTAAAACTGATAATAAAAATTAAATTTTTTTTTTTACCTCAATATGGATTAATTGCAACAACAATATTCTTCTACAAATTTCAAATACTTTTAAGAAAATAAAATTTTGGAGGATTTTTAAGTGTTTACGAAATTATATCAAAATATATCAAAATGCATGTCTATTTATAGAGAATTTAATTTTATGGCCGTTGGTATTTTTTTTTTTTTTTTTTTACAAAATATTTTTTTCAGAAATTACAAAATACAAAACTAACCGTTGTAAAACGGCTAGTTCAACCTGATTGGCTACTGCTGCACACCTGCCACGCGTCTCATCCCCATTCGCCAACCTCCTGCACGCGTCAGCCACCTATATTTTTTTTTTTGGCTACTCAAAACGACGCGTTTTGAGGATTGCCTTTGAGGAAGCTTCATCAAAACGCGTCGTTTTGATGGGGAAGGCAGCAGAATTTTTTAAGTGGGTCTGACGCGTGTGGGGCCCACCTCTACTACTGTTCATCCGAAAAAAAAGCTCAAGTTTTGAGCTTTTTGATAAATGCTCATGAGCATTTCTTTCCCATTTTGATTTTCCTCACCATTGTGACTAGTGAGTATTTTTTTTACACCATAAAAATGCTCATGAGCATAAAAAACTCTCACCATTGAGAGTGCTCTAAGAACATCGAATCTGATAATGAATATAATGTCTAGATTGTCGATTAAATTAAATAATTAAATTAGTGACAATTTCTTCCATCCCTTTTCTGTTTTTGGTGACTAAATTGAGGACAATACCCTAATTTGTGCATGTTGGTTTTTTCTCAAAATGTAAAGTGTTATATAGAATATACAAGTATTAGTATATAGTATGCATCTTATAAAAAGAAAAACAAATGAAGTTGATAAAGAAAAGCTTGTTCAATTCCTAGCTAACTCATAGACCCAAAATAGATTGGCTTTATGCAAAAATAGTAATGACGGTATTTGGTCGGTGATTAAAGATGCAATTTAATGGGTTAATTTTGTGCAAAGTCTAATCAATTGTCCCCTTTAAGCTAATTAGAAGTATTAGATAGATGAACTACCATACATTTAATTAAAGTCACACACTATTGCACTCTAATATCACATATCTTCCCATACCAGTATACAACTAATACAGCTATATAATTAATCGTATGTATTTGTATGTTTTTTGGTACATGTAATTACTATGAAGTACTCGTTTTTGTTTAAGTGTTTGTGCGTTATATTTGTATCAGATTTCATGTGTGCGGTTTACACGCAAGCAAGAAACTAATGTAACTTATTAGTAATTAACATAAAATTAAGCCTTGTGAATGCGGGTTCATTTATACATGTTATGTTCAATATATATAATATGAAGTACTCGTATATGTTTCAGTGTTAGCACGTGTCTTTGCATCAATTATTTGCATGTGTGTGGTATGCACAAGTGCGGCATCCATTAATATTATGTAACAAGCTAACTGTATGAATTCATGATCAACTATATTCGATTGTATGCACATCCTTTATTATCAAGAAGTCGTCTTTCTTACCATATAGTACCCAATGACAAATCCTACACTAGATAATCCATTTAATTTGCAGATCCTTTCAAAAAATGGAATATAATAGACTTAAAGTTTTGATAATGCGCCAAGCCTTATAAGCTAATTTGCTAATTAAGTGCGTGCTATACAATAATTCACCCTAAGCATTATTAATTAAATTAAACAACAATCCTATACGTAAGAATGTAAGATAAGGCACAAATAAGCGGAAATAAGCAATAAAACAAGTTTTTTGCTTACCTCGGTAATCACTAATCAAACCCAATAGGGCCAACTTTGAAAAACCTATAATTGCACTAGATTCGTCCAAATTGAACTAATTTGGCAGATTTAATTAGCTTCTTCATTAATTCCAACTTATTATGAACAAATAAGTAAGGCGCACTCGCTCTAACTAGCTTAACGATAATAATTAGACAAGTATCAAAGCCCCCTTAGTTTATTCCAATCAAACTAAGATCAATATTATTCCGTAGGTGGTTCTTACATACACTTAACATAATCTATATATTGCGCGATTAGCTTTTCTGATACGCATTGACTCGATACTAGTCGATCGAAGAAATGATGAAGCAAAGAAGCTAAACTTTAAAGTCCAATTAAAATGAAAATCTTATAAATGAGCGCATAAATTATGGTCCACGCCTATCATAAGTATGAAAAAGGAAGAGGATAAAAGGAGGGGAAAAAGCTAGATTGAGCAAAGTAGAAAAATATATGGTATAGATTTAATATACAAAAATTGATTGATAGTTCATTCATTATTCATGATCGAACCAATAATCAAAAAGAAATGACAAGAAATTATAAGTGGTGATTGAGGCCCACTACCAATATCAGATAGATGTTGAATGTATTTGTGTTTGTGTCTATTGTCTAGTTAGTGTTAGCTGTTGTGCAGCTTTCTGTGAGTTTGATTGTCCTACCTTTTATCACTACTAGTGCCAGTGTACGTACTAGGATACCCATTATTATCACCATATTATTATCAACCTAATAATTATTCAAAGGTTATATTGTGGAAGTGAAATAATTAAGTGGTTTTGTGACACATGATCATGTACAAATAGGATGTGGAGCCTCTAAGCTATGGTGGAGACTGGAGAGGGAGGTTGTTATTCGCGGTTGCTGGTGGTACGACGATGATGGTGCTTGTACGCGCTGATGAAGCTAGCTATGAGTAATATTTGCTTTATATTGTCTAAGTATCGATCACATTTTGATTTGCTTTATATTGTCTAAGTATCGATCACATTTTGATCATATATAAGCGTAGAATATGCATGTGTGCAACTATATGGCATTTGAGATGAAGCTTATAATCACAAAGTTTCTATCATTTTAAAAGCTTAATACATACATATATTACATGTAACTGATATGGATTTTTGCTCCCAACAAATTCGAAATTTAATGTGTTATCTGCGAGGTTTTAATTTATTTCATTTAATTTGAACATTGTTTCAAGATTAAGATTAAAAACATATTAAAATATGTACTCTCGAACATATTAAATCAGTTTGTTATGTACTCCGTTCTTAAACTTGTATTTTTCATACGTATTGTTTGTTAATTAAAAGCTAATTTGTCGTTCAGGCGCGATGCCAAGATAGGAAGCTTGCATGCATGTATAGGTCATCCTATAAAAGAAAAAGAAAAAAAAAACTTCAATTTAGCAATTACTTGCAGGGGCGGACCCACCTTTAGTCATAGTGGGTCCGGTGACACAGTATTTTTTTTTTAAAATAAAATATCAAAGAGACCTCTTAATATAGATAGGCGGTCTCTTTGATGCTGCTAACATCAAAGAGACCTTTTATTAAGGTAGACGATCTCTTTAATGCTGCTATTGCTACTTAAATATTAAAGAGACCTGTTATTTATATAAGAGGTCTCTTTGATGCTGCTATTGCATTTCGCAATTTTTTTGCGCTACTTTTTTTTCATTAAAGAGACCAGTTATATTTAATAACTGGTCTCTTAAGTTATCTCACTTTTTTTTGTATAATTTTTTAATAATTTTTTTTCCCTTTTTATATCTTATATTTGTATAACCGATTTTAATATTTCCCCATAAAGCTTATCAATTAACTAAAAAATCATAAAGTTAATTCAATATAATAATTTTATTGTACCATTTGTTTATAACATGTTATTTGTAATATTTTCGACTTGTAAAATTGAATTCTTAAGTACTGTATTTGGTTGTGGTATGTATTTTTGTGTCCTATTTTTGGATTGAAATCAATTTGGTGAAATATGGAAAAAAAAATTGTACTTTCACAAATGATCAATAATTGATGGTGACACACTATCTCGGAAATCTTGGATCCGCCACTGATTACTTGCATTTGTTTGCAATCAAGTTGTGATAATACCTATCAATTGCACAATCAATAGAAATCACTTTACACATTGTACTAACTACTTTAATCAAATATAGTACTTGTATATACTTTTAGAGTATATTTTTTTGTCTATGTGAATATATACCACAGTTGGGTAGCTTGACTAACATGTGTTAACATTCCAAATTGATCTTTGCATGTGCATGGATGAATCATACTATAAACTGTTACTTGTAATTTTATTGACCTTTTCTTTTAATTTTAATTACACAATTCTCTTCCCACGTGCAGCCATCTGGTAGGAATTTTTGAATATTCCATTTCAGTCTTAAGAAAATCATCCAAGTTTA